TCAATGGGAATGCGCCGTAATAGGAGGCGCCACAAAAAGACGAAAATGGTCGGGGTTAGAAGGTCGGTCCATTTGGCCCCTAAGAGGCGGTTTGGCCAGTTGCCCAGCCTCACAATCTCCCCAGGCTGATGACGTAGAGAATGCACCCGAAGATGTAAGTCTCCACCTCATGCCATCCAAACCTCCCTTCAGAATGGGAATCTGTCGGATCTGGTCAATCTCTAGACTACTAAAACCTCCACCCTCTGTAGGGTTCGATATAATGTATGTAACAGAGTTTGCAGCGGAATTTAAAATTTTATAAGTATTTATCTTATAAATACTTATTTCGTACATAAGTATAACGAGATAACAAATAAGCATCACTTAAAATCTAGTAACTTTTACTAATTTTGATTTGATACGTAATTTATAAAAATTACCTTTATTCTTGAACTCCTTCAAAACCGACGATGTATGAGGAAATTAATTCCCGATTTGGTAACGATCACTTCTTGTTGTTACTCACTTTAGGAATCCAAATGTCTTCCCTCTAATCGTATCCACCTTTTGAAGTCCGGTTCCGACAATAGTTCCTTCGCTAGTAGAAACTACTCGGTTTTATTCAATAAGTATGGAATATATATTTATAAGGAAATTATACAAGAACACTTTCTTGTATTATCACTCAACTCTTTGAATGAATTTTCTCTTGGAAGAATTTAGCTCAAAACTTTAGCAATTAATGTGCAAACATTTTGCACCTATTTATACTAAACATTTTAGCATAAAATAATCAATATTTGATATATTTTATTTTTAAATAAAATCAGATTTTATTTAAATAATCATACCAAATATTGACTTTAAATTAATAATGTGGAGTGGTTTATAACCACCATCAACCACCATTATTTTGTCTCTTTATTATTTTAATCTTTAATCATATTAAAGATAAAATAATAAAATAATAATTCTTGAAAATATTTTTCAAGACTTTATTAAAATATTCTTTTCTTCCAATTTCCTTATTTAGTAATCATATTATTATTTGGATTTGAAATTTAAAATCTAATTTAAATTCCAACTATTAATTAGTAATTCCATTAATTACTAAACTAATATCCAAAATTTAATTAATAAATCCAATTGATTAATTTAATATATTCCTTTAATTGATATCTAATCAAATTAAATTTATCAATTAATTCTAACTCTTTAGAATTACTATTTGAATTTTACCTTCATTCAAAAATTGGTGTGACCTTTTAGGTTCACAATTAATACTAGCAGTGGGTTTACAACTCTTTGTAATTTGAGTTAATCTTATTAACTCTTATTCATGAATTAACTCTTTAATTCAAGAACCCACATATCATGGGAACATCTAGCAAGTAGCATGAATCTAGTATTAAGTGAATAGCGAGTAAACCTATTTCGATTACAAGTCCATACATGTAAAATCCTTTCGACATCCAATTTCTCGATTAAATCTTTGGGTATAATTTTGTCGAAACCAAAATTGATTTAATAACTATGATTCCATTTCAAGTTTAGTAATTCGTTTATGAATCTCTATTCATCTTGCCTTGGCCAAGGACTTTGAATTGCTAACTATGAAACACATAGGAAATTCACTTATCTTCATAAGTGTCGAATCCTTTGTTGATCACTGCCAAACTTTCATACGTATTAATATAATACCCAAAATATCCCTTTATACGATTGTGCAAGCAATCAAAAGGATAAATCAAAGTAAAATATAATATGCACAAAGTTACCATCGTGCCTCAAGTCTAAGGATTAATCATGTACTATTGTAACATGAAAATTCTTATTCGACATGATAAACTTTCATTAAGAATATTCATACGGTCATGTTCAGTGAACTTGTTCTCTAACAAGCACCCACATATATGTATTTGCGTCCCACGCTAATGTTGATGGAATGCAACATTCTTATCTAATAAGCATACATAATATGTGCAAGTCTTTTCCATATTTATTCGATATCCCATCTCGAAACATCCAACGACTTGGAACTGTATTTAAGATCACAGCTTTCAAGATATGTTCCATGATCACAATCTCTATGCGCAACCATATCTTATAGCTATAAGTGATCTAGGGATTTTATCTTAAGTGCAAATATATGATAAATGCTTACTTCTAAAATAAAGTAATGCCTTATTTTTTAATATAATTCTAATAGATTGTATTTACAAGTAGAATACGTCCAATCCGATTGGAACGCCGGGTATACTACTCTAACACCCTCACCAAGAATATCCTCCATCTTATCTCTATCCCAAAACCCTCCCGTCCAAAGGTCCTTCACCTGCGTGAAAGGCAGGTGAGTGACAGGCCTAGTACTCGAGAGAGGGGCCTCGCCGAACCACCACTCATCCCAGAAGCTAATCTCCCCAGAACCCAAGGTCCAAAAAATGTGCTCCTGAGCACGTCTGCCAACAATGGTGAGCCGTCTCCACTGTCGACTATCCCGAGCTGTAACACCCCAAACTCATGTCGTTCATTTTATGCTTAGTATTATTTTCATGGATAATATTTATGTTTAATCTAATGATTTACAATGTTATTTTTATTTTAATTGTAAGCTCGATTTTTATGTGATGATTAAGTGAGTGTCCACACTCATTTAATTATCAAGTTAATGATTAAAAAGGGAATTATTTAGATGTCCTCATCTATTTAATTTTTCTAAGTATTAATGCAATAATGTTAATATAATTTTAATTATGAAATGGCTTAATTTAATTAATATAATTTTAATTTTAATTTATTAATGAAGATAATAAATATTAAGATGATAAATTGAGCTCAAATAACAGTCCAATTTTCCCAAGCCAGATAAAAAGCTCAAGACTCACGATATTTTCATCCCTCATCCAAGCAACAAGAATCCTAATTTTTATCAGATACCTAGTTCTATTTTGCAAGAGTTCTTTTTAAACACGGTACCAATTCCACATTAAATATCTCTCATCTCTCTCGGTACTCTCTCTCTTTTAACCTCACACGCCCCATAAACATCTGATCACTCCTCGTGCCGCAAATTCCATCGAGCAGAGAGATATTTTTCACTTCATCATCCACCATCGATCGCTCAGCCCATCTCCATCGTCTTCAACGTCGAGCCCTCCATCCCCGCCATCGTCCCAGCGGCCGTCCACCATCATCATAATCGCCGAGCTTCATCACCATCATCATCCACGAAGAGCTCCACCACCATAGTCATCATCATCGGCCACCTTCATCGCACAGCCCTTCACCGATCATCATCATCGAAGCTCCATCGATCACCATCACCATCTTCACCGTCCGCGCAGGCCCCATCTCCACCGCTAACCACCATCACCATTACCGCAAGCTCCTGCAACCATCACCGTAGTAGCTTCCTCACTGTCGAGACCCGAGGAGTTTGGTCGGAGTACCCATCGTAGCTGTTGAGCCCCGTCGAGTTCCGTCGGAGGGTCAAACGTAGTCGGCGAGGCCTTCGCGCAAAGCTCCGACGCAGTCCGCTGCTCCCTTTGCAGCAGCCACCTTCATCATTCCCAAGCAGCCCCTCCACATCGCGCGCAGGCCCTTTTTCCCAATCAGCAGCCGCAGTCCATCGTCTAGCCACGAGCCCTCTTTCGAACTCTACCGTTGTTCTTTCTCTCGAGCGGTAAAACCCTATTGCTTACCCTCTTGGACTGTTATTATTTCGAATGCGATTAATTACGAATGAATTGTTAAAGTGTTTAAGGTTGGATAATCGAATCTCGTATGCTTGCTTAAGGTCCGAGTAAATAATTGTTGAGTTATTATTGAGTTGGAATTGGTCGGAGCCTTGCCGGGCTTCCGAAAGAATTTAATTGAATGATATGTGAATAGGGTTAATTGTTGTCAATTTATGTGTTCATAATCGTGTCTTATTGTGTGATAAACGTGCCTAGAATCATCGATTATATGTTGCTTTCGAGATGATATGATGTTCGGATAATTAGGTTATGATTTCATGTGTAATTGTCATTTTCGTGCTGTCTGTTCGGAAGCAATTTAGGCCCCTGAGATGTTATTTTCGGCTTTCGAGTTCTTCATATGATATGTAGTTCGTTAGGTTTTGTTTACGTGAGCTTTGGAATCGTACAATTTCGACTTAAAACGAATAAGTTATGATTTTTACAAAATTGACTGCGCGAGCAGTTTTTCTTAGATCCGGCTGCAGTTAGGTTTAGATGTTTTGTGTGTTTATGATATGATAATGTGCTCAAATGAACCTAAAGTCTTCATTGAAATTGTTCCTATATGTGTTATCTTTCATGTGGTTTTGGAAACAAGCAAAAATATGGTCCGAGTAGTGAATGATACCTGTTTTCGTAAAACTGCGCATGAATTTATTTTAAATTTCTGGACAGCATTTCAGCTTTGAATGTTTGCTGGTTTTGGACCATGTATATGACCTTATTTGCTATTGAGTGCTAAACGAAAGTTGTAGTACCATGTCTTAGGAGCAATATAAGACTTGAATCATGTTAATGTGATTTGTATGTTGAAAGATATGCTCGTTTTCAAAATGCAGCACGTGTTAAGTTATGTCAAAGGACTAAGTGTAATTGTTTAAGTGAGTCTTATGTATATTACGCATGCTTATGTGACATGTATGAGCCGTAAAGCATTGAGTGAGATCATGATGAACCAGAATAGTATCCGTAAGCAAGCAAGCTAAGAGTTCAATTGTCCAAATGCTTTAAAATAAGAATTTTTTCAAAAGAATGCAAGCAAGGCGAAGCCAAGCGAGCTAAGTTTTTTCTAAAGCATATGTATTGTTATAAGTATAAGTATAAGTATAAGAATAAGTTTCATGTTAAGACACTAAGACATGACCCCAATGAATGTAGTTTTACGAGGAGTCGAGCCCTCGAGATTTCTTTCAAGTTCAAGTCTAAGCCGAGCATTCTACTGAAAAGGTGGGGGAAGTTCTACTTTATTACTCCTCTTTAATTATCTATGCTATGAATGAAGTTAAGTAGCTTGCATAGTATCCATGTTTATTCAATATTCCAACATTCGAGCAAGTCGTTTGTTGCAGTACCAAGGTTCACGGACTATAACTCTAGAGGGTAGCTAAGTGCTAGGGTTAGAGGGTGTAAGTGATTATGTGTAACCTTCGTTGGTGAACTCTTCGAACGATTGTCCCCGTCGATAAGATTGTACGGAGCCTAGTGAAAGGCTATCTTCCTTCAACCTATTGAAAGGTACTCTCATCAAGCCTAATTGGCCGTGCCATCTGCGAGAGGCATTGTTCTTCCACCACCATAAAGTGGTATAAGAAGTTTGATGAGTGGTGGGAGTGTGACAAGAATGTAATCGCCTGCATGCAAAGACTCTAGTGTTTAGTCGTCTAATAGTGTTGTAGAAGCAAGAAAGTCTTTCGACTTGTGGGTCACCACTCGTCGGGAGCACATGACTATGTGGATTATACAAAAACGATTTCATGCTTTATATTTGATTAGGATGATAACGTAGAGGGATCTCTCACGGAGTAAGTGGAAATGCTCACCCCATTTGTTTTCCACACCCATGTTTTTGGCGAGCTGACAAAGGAGCGATGGCGAGGGTGGTCACATGTTTTTATGTTTATGATACTTATGTTTTAAAAGCTTCCGCTATGCAAAGTTTATATTATGAAATAAGTCATGGTTCATGCAAGTCAAGTTAAAGTGTAAGTTCTCAAGGCAACGCCATGAAATGTTCTATGTTCACGTATAAAATTTTTATGTTCATGAAAAGTTTTATAGTTATGAAAGGATTACGTATGCAATGTTTTTCAAAGTGAGTAGCACCCTGAGTTCAAGTAATGTATTCAAAAGTTTTATAGAAAGAAAAATTTATTCTAGAAATTCAATGTACGAAAAGCGGGGTGTTACAGTTTGGTATCATGCCAGGTTTTGTGGTTCTGTAGACTCGTAAAATATTTTAAAATATTTTCAAGAAATGACCACTCGCCACCGTCGCACCATGCCA